AAAAAAAAAAAAATATATATATATATATATATATATATATTGCAATGTTTTATTTAAAGCTCTATTCTCTAGTATTTTTTTGTCAAATGTAACAAAACAAAAGGCATAATAATAATAATAATAATAACATATTTAAGTGTCTTAAAATATCAGATATCACATTTTCATGACATTTACAGGTTTTAAAATGTTGTTCAAAAACCTAATTGTATTTCTGATATAATATTTGTTAAAAATACCTTGAATCATATATATCATTGTTATATAAAACCTTAAAATCAACATCAATATAAAGTCTGCATTTTTAAAAACCTGGCACAGCTTGTACACACACACACACACACACACACACACACACACACTGTCAAATAAAATCAATAATTCAACTACAATTTAGTAAAAAAGTAGACAGCAAGGAAGGGGTTACACTCTAAAACATCAAGAGTGCAAAACAGACACATCCACCCCTTACCCCTAAACTTTATGCATTTTTATGCATTTTTACCCTTACCTCTTATCCCTAAACTTTATGCAATTTTACAATAAATAATAATAAAGAAAACAACCTTTGTTTACTTTATTTTTTATATCAGTTTTACAAATGAGCACGTCCCCAAAGTGAGGTTTTTGGAGATTTTGTCAGGTTTAGCTCACTTTTGGGAACAAATCTGTCCCCAAAATATGGTTAAGTAGGTACACACACAAAAATCAATCAAAGCCACAAATCTAAACAAGCTGTGTTCCAAATTTGAGGTATATATGTAAAAAAACGATAAAAAAAATATACTTTTTTTTTTTTAGAATTAGTTACGGCTGATATATGCACATAACCCTTTAAAACATTTGTTAAAATGTAATGTGCTAATTTGTATGATTAAATATACAAATGTTTGAAATTAAATGATTTAAAAAAAATAATTATATTAAAAAAACATTAAAAGCCAATAATCATGCCCCTTATGAATTCACTTTTTTTTTATACCATCAAAACAATTCATAGTTAGCACCTACATGAATTTGCAAGCTTGCATAAAACAAAAATAAGAATGTACTGAATATTTGTAATACCTATTCAATGTTTTACTCTGTCACGATAATGTCATGAAATATCTACATTTGACAGGTTTTTCCTCAGCATATATTTATATATGGAACTAACTGCAATAGATTAATTGCCATGTTATGCAATTCATTTGATGAACATTTTCCAGTCAGTTGACAGCCTACGTTAATACTTTAGATTTTCAATTTGCTAAACATTTTCTTTGTTTTGTGCACTTCTTTAAATGTTGCAGGCACAAACGGTGCTCTTTTCACAAACTGACTCGGCTGCATGCAACACAAAAAGCCAAATGCCATGAATCATCATCAGATGCTCCATAACACATTCTCTTCTTTATATGCTTTGCTTCAAAAAGAAAGCAGATACTTCTTTGTCTATTAATCTTAGTGCTCACTGTGCAAATGCAAACATTGCATACATTTGCATGATTTCCATTGCTGATTTGTTTGAATAATGTCCTTGTTCTCTTTTCGAATAGCAATAAGTCCTTGGCTTTGTGGCAAAAAGATCTTCAAGTGCTGCTCTGTCTTACATAAGCCTCTATGTTTAGATTAACTTTTGATGGAAAGCCATTTTTCACAGCATTATAGGCCACTGCAGCACAATCCTAAAATCCAGCTAGAGGCAGCAGTGTTTGGAGGCCATATGCAATGCATTAGCATTATTTAATTGTTACTCCCACAGTCCGAGCGGTGTGAAACATTACGACGCTTCCAGGAAGTAGCAACGGCGGGAGAGCTAAAGGACAAAGCTGCTCCTGTGTATAAGAGAGGCATATAGAGTCAACATTTCATCAGAGCAGTGACATGTTTATCAGTGTAATTTATTATCTGTTGCTTTATCACCAATTTTCCCAGAGACTCCAGTCTAGAGTTACACTTCAATGGGAGTCTGTGGCAGATGTGGTTTCATATTGTGTATTTAATGAAGTGACACTCAGACATTTTAGTTGTGACTGGAATATTACAGATTCAATACAAGTTAAACTCAATCAACATAATATGTGGCGTAATGTTGACTTACCACAAAAAGTACGTAAATGTCAGTCATTTCTTCTCATCCCTCATTTCCTTTAAATAAATAAATACATAGAGGTTATGGTGAGGTGATTACAATGGAAGTAAATGGGGACAATTTTTGGAGGATTTAAAAAAAAAAAAGAAATGTGAAGTTCATAAAAGCTTTTTATGAAAAATGTAATTTTCAGGCCTTGGGCAGATTGGGCTGGTTTTGTTTCGCAGACCTGACATCCCTGTTTTGTCATCTGTTTTGTATGTCTGCCTTGGGTTGTTTCGCCAAGTGTATAGTGTAAATGCAGATATGGGATATAGTGAACAAATTGGAATTGGGCATCAAGACCTGCAGTGTAAATGCGGCCATGGTGAATGTGTTGAGGAAGTGTGGCTCAGTGTGTCTGTTCTATTTCCTGAGCTCTCTACACCTTTCGGTGGGCTAGCAGGATTTGTCTCGTATCAAAGCTGTTCACTTTGTACATGCATCAGTTCAGAAGAGTTTGGAGAGGTAGACAGCGCTTGGCAAAGATCTTAAAGCTCCCCCGCATCTCTTGAACATCAGTATCAAACACAGTGAGGGGGTGAGGGGGCTTTATGTGGGGAGCGGGTCCCTGGGGCAACGCTGCTGAATCCCAGCGGCTTTAGCTGGTGTGATTTAAGTTAGTCCACATCCCAACACATCACCACATGAAAGGGCTCTGTTCCTCCACACACACTCATCTTCTGCTTCTAAACTCTTTTTCCACAAGATTTCTGTCTTGTTTTATCGTGAGTAGGGTTTGATATTGGGGTTGGGGATTTTTTTTTACTGTACAGTAGTTCGGTGCCAATTTCCATATGGCATATCATTGACCAAACCTACACAGAATCAGATTCATCTGCTTGTAAAGTCGCCTACAACAAATTGAACAGAGACTGAACTACTGGTAATTTTACATGTCAATCAGACTGTTTCTTCCTGTCTAAGTGGGTGGTTCTTTGCCAGAATAAGTCTTGTTGTGTGAGGCTAATTGTCTCTGCATTAAATTAGTCTCTGCATTAAATATTTTGTTGCATATAAATGATGAAAAAGTAATAATAAATACATTTATTTTCCAGGTACAATACAATATTTATTAATTGATTGTTTTTGTTTTTGTTTGTTTGTTTACCTTTTTCTCCTCTATTACAAAGTATATTTTATGTATTTATTTATTTATTGGCATAGGAAATCACTGATAAATAAGTAATATATAAAATTGTTTTCCAGTTATTATTGTTATTATTATTATTAGACTTGGAAAATAATTTTATATATTACTTTATTATCTATTTTTGGGGCATTTGATTCATTAATGTAAATCTGATCAAACTGTCAGTTTCAATGAATCATTTGTTCTTTCTTTCTTTCTTTCTTTCTTTCTTTCTTTCTTTCTTTCTTCTAACCCCTTCCTTTTTTTAGCTTTCACTAATGAAGGATTTTCACACATATTTATTTTTCATATTTTAATATTTAAAGGGGTGGTTGATTATGATTTCACTTTTTGAACTTTAGTTAGTGTGTAATGTTGCTGTTAGAACATAAACAATGTCTGCAAAGTTACGACGCTCAGAGTACAATGCAAAGGGAGATATTTTCTTTTAAAGAAATCGCTGTTTAAGGACTACAAAAAATGGCTGGTAGGGACTACAACGAGCTTCTTCCTGGGTTTGTGACATCACTACCCCCGATATTATAACACGCAACTACCAGTAATGGTAAGGGGGCGTGACGTTTCTGGACAACGTGCACTAGGCGGTTAGCGAATCACAAACACACTGAGCCCGCTAACCAATCAGAGCCCATTGCGTATTTCTGAGGGAGGGGCTTCATAGAACCAGGAACTCAACAGACCGTTTTGACGAGAATGGAAACAGCGGTGTAGAATAAAGGTAAATATGTGAACATAATGTTTTTTTTTTTTTAAACGAAGCATGAACATATGTTACACTGCTCCCCATAAACACAATCAAGCTTTCGAAAAAAGCTGATCAACCA